CATAAGTTTTCCGTCATTAAATACAGTAAAATACACTAAATATCAGTTTAATTGCATTGCCACACCAATAACCGACTTGTCTCATCAAACAGGAATTAAACTCCTTACACTTAACAGAATACAAGTCTGTTTATAAATAAATACAAACAGATGCTGGGGATTATCATAAAACGAACAAACAGTTAATAAGAAGCTTGTGATCCTTACATTTGTATCTGTATGATGAATAAGGATTAGTAACGCCGGCAAGAGTTCCTTAATCGTGTCAACATGTGGCGCTGGGTCTTTGTTGCGACACAGGTTGACGATGACCCACGTGACATTGCGTAAAAAGGAGAGAGGGATTGCAGGGTTGATGAAGGCTAGTAGAGGCTTGACCACGCCTAGACCTATGACATAGTCTCTGCAATGAGGACCATCACCTGAAATTGGTGGGAAAATATCATAAAATATAATAAATTTGATGAAATTGAACGTGTATATTTCTCTCACTTAATTTAATCATAGAAGGAAATTATATTGATAAATATATCTGTAAATTTGATGAAACCAAACGTGTTAAACTGTCTCATTTCATCCATTCATTCGAGGAAAGTGGACACTGGTGAAAAATCTCTTTAATCAGACATAAGAGTGGGTTTTTGAAAAAAAATCTTTAAAGCTTAATTGCAGGACCAACGCCTTTTGCCAGTGGGTCCTTTAGAAGTTCAAAATTACAGAAATTCAAAGATTTTCCAGGTAAATCAGTCATGTCTGTTCAACAACATCTCGGCACTACAGTAAATTGTTTGAATATGTACTGAAATGAAACAAAAACATTTAAATAGAAAGAGTATTATCATATAAATAACAAATAATAATAATTATCATAACTTCTCTAGATATCACACTTACCAATGATATTTCCTAAGGCCCAGACAGCTTGCTCACATACATTTTGATGTTGAGATTCTAAAAGCCTTAAAAATAACGGGACAGCACCTAAAATATATAAACATTCTTGATTAACACATGGCCTATTCATGCAAATAAGAAAACAAACAAATAAATGAATAAATAAATGAATAAATAAACAAGAGCAAGCTGTACTGATTAGTTGTGGTGTGTTTTACCAGCTAGGCCCTATTGAGTGTTATTTCAGGTAGATAACTGAAACAAACATTGATGTTGACCTACTTTTTTATCATATTTAGACCAAGGTGACCTACTTACCAGCTTCCACCACAGCTTGTGTTTGCTGAGAGGTACCTGAAGCAATGTTTGTGAGCGCCCAAGCAGCTTCAAACTGTAACGAGGGACTGGAACAGAAACGGTTCATATGCAAAATGAGAAAGTTTTAACCGGCTAGTTTTCAGTTGAAAGGAGTCAAAACAATGAAAAACTGACATTTTTTTTTTCTTTGCTGAATATTTCATTTATCTTTTTGCCTAAATAATTTTTAACATTTACAGACATGAGACCAGTCCTCACTGAAAAAGCAGGATTTACACGATTCACCAGATTTACACGATTCACAAGAATGACCCAAATGGCCCTGAAAAAGTTGGAATTCCGACGGAAGTCAAAAAAGTCTCATCAGTGATTTAGTAAAAATATTTATATTACTTTTAGCTTTAAAACTCCCTACCTACCAACTCTGGATTGGCAATCGGTGCCAAAAACTTTTACTGGCCCAAGCCTTTATTTAACTGACATTTTGGTATGGAGCCAATGTTAATGCCACTGTCAGAATAAGCCCAGGATTCAAGAGTGTATCAATAAAAGAGTACTCACTTGGTAGCACAGCTCAAACAATGGACTAAAATGGGCAAAATTCCAGAAGAAATCAGGTCATCTATGGGAGGGTTCCTGTCACTGGACAGCAGTTTTCTGGAAAAAAACACATCAAAAAATGTAGTGATACCAATTTAAGGGCACATTCAAAACAGCAGACTAACACAGATCTGCAGGTGTAATATTCAGTGTCTAATCAGGCATTAAGCAGCAAGCTTTTAAGCGGGGTGTGGCCATATTTGATCTGTGGATATGTTAGTCCCCTGTTCTGAATGTGCTCGAATTCAAAAGTTCAACTTTGAGCGCTGTCATCAATGTTGACAGAATCATGGTATAACTGAGGTATTTGGCAGGGATTGATGTAAACGAAAATGAGTCTGGGAGTTGATTCTATAAGACCAAAATTTTTCTTTATCGTCTGACTCAAAATAAATAAGCAGTATTCCACTTAAACTGAAGCAACTTAACTCTGGAGCACTCATGCTGAAAATGAAAACTGAATTGAAGTAGAGCAAGATCAGTCTTAAAATTCAGACCAAAGTTCAGTCACAAGATTTTTGATGAAACTTGCCACTGTAATTCATATATTAAGCCTGTTTTCAACTTGTCTTTAGACTAACATTCCCACAGAGTTGATTCAGGAAATTTTCCATCATAATTCAAACAGTTAATATTGAGGCTATTTTTTAACTTTTGGTCAAGTTCTTTTTTTTCTTTTTTTTTTTGTTTCATTTAAATATTGAGGCTATTTTGCAACTACTGGGCAAGTTCTTTTAGGACTGTTTCCAGTTATAATACAAATATTTTCAATGTGTGGTTTTACCTAGCAGCTTGTACAGCACTGAGTTGGACACCGGGCTCTGGGCTGGCAGCATTCTGAACTATTGTTTCTAAGGACTGATTCATCAAAGGTTTGTCATTATCATCAGAGTCAGTACTGTTTTCATGTTGGGGCACGTTCCTTTTCTTTCTTAGATGTTCTTCTCTTTTGTTCTGAAAGACGGGATAAAGAACTGTTTGACATAGCATTCATTAAACTTATTGGAGTTCTCGCGATTGTTGTGGTTTACCTGGCAATAGAGCCTGGATGATTTTTAAACACACACACATCTGTCAGCTCATTATAAATAAACCAAGCCCATTCACTAAGTTTTTGGCTTTTCTTGAGGCCTTTCAAATGAGTACAATAAAAACAAAATGAGTGTGTTAAAGATGAGAAATTATGTCTCCTAAAAGGTCTAGTATGACTCACCTTTCTCAGTTCAACAGTAACTTCTGCTCTCCTCAGTCTCTGTTGCTGTTAAAACAGAAGACAACCAATATATGTTAAGACTTATTATGATTCAACCAGATAATATAAAATTCTGCTACCTGAAATTCTCATCCAAAAATAAATAATAATAACAATACTATAATCTAAAGCTGATAAACCCTGAATTTCAACCTAAGAACACATTTGAAAACTGATAATCACTTAGTTTTAACTCCTGATAAGGAATGAAACCCTGTAAAAAGTTACAATTATTAACCAGGATCTAAAACAGCACAGCATACTGTACTTGTACAGCATACTTGTACAAGTCTCCTTTACTGTCAATTTAAGTACAAAAATCACAAAGGTTTACTTTTCATATCTCCTTGTTATGGGTTAACACTTCCTACTATATATTAATCACTATTTGTGTTGAAAATTTTAAACATTATTAATTTGTTTTTAAATAACATATTTTAAA